AAAAAAAAATTAAAGAAAAGGCCCAGAAAATTTACTGGCACAAAGACAGAAAGGCTTGCTTGCCCTGTATTGTGCCGATAAGATAAAAAGTTTAAACTGTCCGTATTTGATTCCACAGCTGAAAAAATAAGCTAAGAGGTTTGTTCCTTTTTTAATTTCTCTGGCCCATGCGTTGCACTGTGTTACCCGTTCCCACGTGTCTCAGTGGAAAGTGTAGGTAGGCATGAGCATCACTGCCAGTGTGGCTCTGACCTTCTTGAGCTTTCAGTCCTGCCTCGCCCACTGAAGTCCCCAGAGCAGTTTGCTGCTGCCATTGTAGCTGGGCTGGCACCACGGACCAGGGCTGAGGCTCTGCCGCACTCCGCTCCAAGCACAACCCCAGCCTGGCAGCAGTGCCATAAATCCCGGTCTGACTGAAGCAAGTGGAAATTTGCTCTTGACTTCAGTGAGGCCCGAATTGAACATGGTACATGTAATCTGTTTTCAAATATTTGGCTTTAGGAGCACGTTGTTCCTGTAACAGAGCTGTTTTGAACACAGCTCAGAAGGCATTTCTACTGACTGCAACTTTCAAGCCGGACCTTTGGGGATTTGCTTGTCCAGCTTTGCCAAGTTTGCCACATTCCTTGGACCACCAGGTCAGGCAGGAACACTCCCAGTTCTTCATATGTACCCTTTGAAATAGTAACTTTCTAGAGCATAAGCTGGCTTTTACAGAAGAACCAAGAGTCATTAACAACATTAACTTTAGTGGCAATTAGAATAACATATTCTTGACTGTTGGCCAGATTGTTTAGGTCATAGGGTAAAATATTCTTCTTGTGTAAAGCCCTGCAGACCTTCCACTGTGCTACAGGGGAAAATAAAAGGGGGGGAAAAAAAGAAAAGAAAAACAAAAAGCCCCCAAACCCTGTTTCCTGACATTTCAGGTAGAGTAAGGTGTACTTTCAAGGCTGATCTCTCAAATTGTATCCTCTCTCACTCATGCAAGAAAATTGTTAAAGCCATCATTAGAGATGGCAGGTTCATTTAAAAATTACTAATAACATTTTTGTGAAATGCAGGGGCTTTTTACCCTCCCTTTAGAACTAATTAGTGATCATTTATCCTAAGATGTGGTGCCAGCAGCTCCCTTCTGCTGATGTTTGGCCATACCCTTGTGCTGTGCACAAATGTCCCGGTGCTGGCCGGGAGCTGTGCGCCCATGGTGCTGTGCCACCTTTGCAGAGGCGTTCCCTGTACAAATTCCTCGCAGGTCAGTTATTTTTGGGGGTATTTTTTAGCAATTTAGATAAAACTACTTACTATTGAATTAAGTTCAATAATCTCCAAGGCCATCTTAAAAATTAGCTGTGTCAGTTAATACACATATCTGTGCTTGATGCTGCAAGGTAGCCACTGATCTTTGGAGGCTTCAGGAGGTGTCATTGGCTCTGACCACCAAGAAGCCCTTTTGTGTGGTAGCGCACGGACGTGTCCCCTCGGAGCCAGGCCCAGCTCCAAAATCACACCTGCTCCCGCTCCCGGTGCCAGCACTGCCTTGGCCTCCCATGGTGACCCAAACCCCTTTGACAGTGTGCTCATGCCTGCGTGCACCCATCCTGCCCGGCTGCGCTGGGGCGGGATGCTCCTGCAGTTCTTGCCAGCAGGAAAATTGCACGTTAAATTAGTGAAGGACTACAGCAAAACTCCTCTAGAAATGAATTCCTGAGGAATGCTCACGGCCTGCTGTCCTCGTCAGGGAAACTGAGCTCACTGTGGGAGCAGCTGGGCTGCTTTTGAAGCTTTTCCTTGCTGGATGGACCACCCATTCCCATCACCGCCCTGGTGCTCGCTGGCTGCTTCGCTCCCCTGGGCAAGGAGCTAGTGTCTCCCTGGGGCTGCCCGCACCCCTCACACCCTGCTGGCAGCTCGTGGTCAAAATAGTGGAGACAAAGGTCAAAAAACCCAAGAAACACCCCAGATTTTTCTCAGCAGTGTTTGGTTTCTACAAGGCAAGCACCAAGCATGCGGCTCCGCAGAGGAATCTGGAGATCGTGTTATTCAAAGGACAGTAACTCTGAGGCGTGGCAAACATGTAAAATTCCTTCAACGTGCTGAAAACAGAAAAAAACCCCCTCATTTTAAAGCAATGTTGCATTTGCTAAATAATTTATGCAAGATTCACTGTTGTGTTATTTGACATACAACTCTGTCAAGCAACGACACTTTTGAAAAGTTGCCTAGAGGATCAGATTTCCCATTCAACAGGGAATTAAAAAATGTTTCTGGAATTTTGCTTTGCAGTCGGGAATCTATTTTCTTATCTCACATTGTACAATTTATTTTTCCTAAAGCAGTGTGCTAAATTATTTGTTATTGTTGGACTCAGTCGAACAGCCTTATCCCTGGTGTAGTCACGAAGTGTTGGAGTAAAACCAAGGATGAATTTGTCACAGTGTACTCACCAGATCAGCTGGTCTTTAGGTTAAGTGTCAACAGACAATATTTCTGCTAAAAATATTAGTGAAGGTTCCTTAAACCTCCCCGAAGTTGCCTAAAAACTTTCTTCAGGTTGTGGCAAAGTCAGTTCAGAAGTGTTTCTCTGAGATCTCCGTCGACAGGCGGCATGGAAGCAGGTAGCAGCTCTTTAGGTTAGATTTATATACTTGGACTATTTTTATAGGTTTCTGTCTTATAAAACCAGAGAGTCGACATTCTGATTTATTAACTATCAAGTCTGCAGGACATACAGGTTTTAAAAAGATTGAATGAGCTAAAATGTTTGTGATTGCTGTCTGGGATGAGAGGCTGTAAAAAGGTGGGCCAAGTAAATATGACAAAATGGAAGTGATAATTTGAATATGTACATTAAATTATGTGTGAAGTAAAGCAAAGCTAGCATAGCTTCAAACATAACTTATTTGGTGAAGTAGTAGTATAAAGAGAACCAGAATTGTGTTTTTTCATTGCAATACATTTTTATTTAAGAAAGAGTCTATAAAGCATGAGGTTCAGCAAACAGCATTCTATTGAATAAGCACAGTACAGATGATGACTTACAATATGGAGAGCTTAGTGAGTGATACTTTTTATAACCAAATCCTTAAATTCATTACTGCTGTGTAAGTGGCATATCTGATTTGTTAAGATGAACATTATATCTAGCCCTTAATGGAAATTTTGTAGTAGAAAGGTATGTATAATTTAACAGTAAAAGAACCTGAAAATGTGCAGATCAGTTAATTGCTAAGGGGGATGCTGTGATACGCCACAAGCACGCATTGATTTTTAATATTTCCATTGCAATTCGAAGGGTACGTCATGTTACAAGTGCTCCATGGAAAACTGCAGAGCATTTTACACTGGCTGATTTATGTTATCATGTGCAGTGCAGAAGACGGTATAAAATGTGTTCTGGCTGGATAGTGGTAGCAGAGCCCTACTAATGTGTGTGTCTGAATTGCAGTGCTTGTGGTAACCAGTTTTCATCTTTAATAAATTTTATTTTTCAGCTTTGTTTCATGTTCTCAGCATTGCTTGTCCTTAATCTTTTTGGCGCTGATCTGATTTTAGAAACAATTCATCTCTCTGTTCGCTGGCGTGTCCTTAATGGCTTAAAACCCAAATGCATCCCGAACCAACAAGGTGGCATCTCCCTCCTGCCTGGCTCGAGCAGCTCCCAGGCTTTTGGGGTCAGCCAGTGCATGGGGCGGGAGGATCTCTTCTGCTGGAAAAGCCCACAGTTCCATTTCACTTTGCTGGATGATTTCTCAAATGTTCCCGTCTTACCAACAGGGTGTATTCAGAGTGTGTGAGTGCTCGCGGAGGCAGGTGAAATGGCGCAGGCGTAGCACCTGCGGCCGTGTCACCCAGCTTGGTGGGACATGCGTGTGGAAGATGCGCAGGCATCTCTTTCAGCTGGTCACCAAAGCCTGGCCAGAGTGGCCAGCATACCTGACGGATGCTTTCCTTGCTGAGAGGGCAACAGGTACTTAAATAGGGCTTTTTCACCTCTGCCGCCTCACCAGAGAGCCCAGATGAGGGCCGGCCGCAGTGCTGCATGGAGCCATTGGGCACGACTGGCTTCAGGCATATCTGGGTGGCCGCTGTGGCCAAGGGGGTGTCCTGGGGATGGGCTGCAAGCCCGTCCCTCGTGACAGGCCGCTGAGTGCATGCTGAGGGGTCCGGCTGTGGCCGGCTGGCTGTGCCTCCCACCGCTGCCAGCTGAGAGCCAGCTGCCCTGTGCGTGGAGCTGCCACCCGCGTGGCGCCGGGGTGCCCGGCCCCCCTGCACCCGGGTGTTCCTGGAGCTGCCAGAGCACTCAGCCTCCTTGTACACTAATGCGCATGAAACTTGTGGGTTTTTTGGCAAAGACGTTTGGGCTAGCCCACGCTCCGGTCACAGATGAAGATAAAAAAAAAAATCTGAGAGACCTGAAGGTCAGATGCAATGCTGTCTGCTCCCAGCTGGGTCAGCACAACGCAAGGCTCATCTGCCCAGCAAAGTGCCTCTTGTTAGTTCAGCGGGATTTCTCATGTCCTGGGGTATGCACGTGCTTTGGGGGTCTTCAGCTAGATCATTTTTTTTCTTGTTGTTACTAATATTGGGGCTTGGAGGCAGCGGGGAGAGGAGAGCATTGAGAATTAAAATTCAGCACATGCTTTTTCTTTGCGGGCTGTAATTAATCTTGCCAATTTTTAAAGCTTTGAGAATCTGGTTAAGTGATAAAACACTAACAACTTTATATGACAGAGAGTTAGAAGCTCCCGCTATACACCCACCAGAGAAGATTAGGAGAGAGTGTTTGCAGGATTCGCACTAAGCAGCAGAGAATACAGTTGAGAATTGTTGCACCGCATGATATAAAAACCACATTAATATAATGAAAGGTGTCGGGAATAATGTGAGAGCAGCTGTAATTAAATGTATCTTAATAAGTGCAACATCCTTCTTAAAGCTCTTATTTTTCAGACCTCTCAAACTTAGAGGATGTTCTTGCTGTTGGCAGGTGGCCTGGGAGGAGAGCTGGAGAGCGAAGGGAAGGACAGCCGGGCCCTGGAAGAGAGGAACAGTGTGACAAGCCAGGAAGAGAGAAATGAGGAAGATGAAGACATGGAGGATGAGTCAATTTACACCTGCGATAACTGTCAGCAGGACTTCGATTCACTGGCAGACCTGACTGAACACAGGGCACACAACTGTCCTGGAGGTAATGTTAAACTAGCTTTACAGTTCTGACAGGTGGTTAGCTGGGTAATTGGACATAGCAACAGCTTGAGGCCTCAAGTGAGATTAAAGAATTAATAATGTAATTTTACAGTTAATGTAATTTTATTGTGGTGCCTTGGGTAGCCTTTGTTCACTCCTTTAATAAAATTAAAATAAAAGCAACAGCTTTCCAATTGGAATCTGTCAGTAATTACGTTAGACAAAAATGTTGTGGGGTTTTTTTAATGCTAAAAGTTTCAGGCAGGGTATTTTTCCCTCTCTCTCCAAATGTAGGAAGATTAAAAAAGTTAAATGACTGAAGTGTGCAAAACTCCCAGGAAGAAAGGCCTCTGAACCCCATAAAAGAACATGACGATTTCGGAGATTAAAATTCACAGGGCGAGTTTTGTAATCCCACCCTAAAAATACACCGTTCTCCCTAGGTTATTGTTGCATCGCCTTTTGAATTTTATGGAAGTGAGGACAGCATTAGCCTACGCTGATCTTGATTTCACTTTCTGTAAAGTAAGAACAAGCTCAGAGCATTGGTGTGAACAATTGCAACATATCTTGCTTTTACACGGCTGCCTTTGCATGGCCGGCGGTAGCAGCAGGTATTCTGCAGAGCACGCTAAGCCGATTTACGGGGGTAGTAAAAAGCTTCGCAGATTTTACCAAAGATTAAATAAAATCTTAGGAGGGGGAGCACAGAATATGTTCATATGTATTTAAATCAGAGATTCTCATCCTTCACCTTCCTGGAATTGAATGCTCTGCCATCACTTTTTCCTCCGCACTCGTCTAAAATATTTTTAGGCGGTTGCTATTACGGCAGATGGATAGGTCGAGGCTGGCAGAGCGCAGAAGGGTTAGTTTCTCCTCTGGTGCAGCAGTATCCCATCCTCTTTCCCCTGAGTGCATATTCTTCCCTGGCCACTTAATTTGTTTGGTAATTAGTCCATGTTTTCTGCTCTTCTTTTTGGGCATAAGTAAAATGATGCTCAGCCAAGAAAAAATAGAGGAAACAGTACAGCAAGGGAAGGAGGGTCAGGCGGGTGCTTCAGCTCAGTCTGAGTCCCACCCCAAAAGCATACTCCCCTGTCTCGCTCTGGTCTGTGGAGAGGAGGTCCCCCTGCTCTCGTTCCTATCTGCTTGCTGGGAGGAAGGACAGAGGGACGTTGGGGCTCTTCCCTAGCCTGCAGGCGGACAGGGATTGCGGTCCTATGCTTGCCCCAAGGGCTCCTTGCTCTGCGCTCTAGTTTAAACAGTATGTAGGCTGCAAACTTGAAAGTGCATAAAATTGAAAGGCTACTTCTTGCAGCGTCATTCCTTGGCCAGCCGACAACCGTGGCGTTGGCCTGAGACTTCTGCAAATGACATTCGTACTCTACTGCAGGGTAGTAAGCAAGAAAATGCCATTGAATAGAAAAATCCTTGTTTTCCAAACTGGAAGGCGAGGCGCACAGCCCGTGTGGGCATTGGTCCTTTCCTAAGGAGCAGCCAGAGGGACGTTCCCGACGCCATCCCGCGTGGGGAGCAGGACAGGCAGGATCCTGCCACGGTAAGCGGGCAGCCACGCAGCAGTAGGGCATGGCTCCAGTGGCTGTCCCCGGGTGGCCGCTGCTCCGTCGCTGCCCTGTCTCCTGAGTTGTGCTTAGTTGTGCACATGGTGCTGGGGGTGAGCCCCACCAAAAGAAAGGCTTTTTTTACCCCAGGGGTCTGCTTGGCTCTGGTTCACCGTGTGGTCCCCCAGAACAGCTGTAATGGCACAACTGGGGGAGTGGAGCAGCACGGAGCGGAGCGGGCGCTGCTGGCAGGGACTCCAGAGGAGGAATGTAAGGTTATGGTGTTGACCAACAGCACTATGAAAAGGAGCAATTTTTTTCCTGAGGCAATTATAGATTAAAATGTAGCAATCTAGAGATTCTGTTCATATCAATAGTCAGTGTTTTCACACCTCAGTTTTTATTTATCCTCAATGTAGTATTCTGCTAGTGGGACTAAGAAAAATAAGTTATATTTTTTGAGACCTATCAGAATAATTTGTTAGTATTCCCATTGCTAATTTTTGATTGCAGGTAGCGTAATTTCATCTTCTTTCACTGTCTTCACATGCACTGATGATTTACAAAGACATTTTGTCGTAAAAAGGCACCATATAACCATCTGCATATACATGGAATAGGTGCTAATTATCTCCATGTGAGGATAATCTTGTTCCAGAACAAGAGTGCCTGTTTTCCATTTAGTTTAATCTAGTGTCCTGAAGTGATTTAAAGTAAATAGGAAGATTGCACTCATATATTCTGGAATGAGAATGTTTCCATGAAGACAATCTGGAATATTGCTTGATATTTACACATCTTACCTCGAGGAAAAAAACCTTTCAGACCCACCCATCAGTTTGTTCAATAGCCATAAGAATTGTTGTTCAAAGCGTGCAAAATGCACATCTTTGTTAGTTCATCTGAAAAGACTTGCACCACCAGGGCGAAACTCTCAAGACCGCATTAGGAAGTGTGGTGTTTTTAAAGATACTACCTCACAAAATAAGCTATTTGACTGTGTCCTTAGTTACCCTGCACTCCTTTTGCCTATAATGCCTGCCTGATGCATCTGAGGTTGTAATGCAGTGCCTGACCTGTCTTAATCTGAAGCAGGGTTTTCAGTCGTGTCTACATGGCTCCAGATCAATACAGGTAATATTTGTAGTGATAATATCACCAGGCTGATAATACAACATAACTAATGACTTCCTTTGGGATGCTGAAGTTAGGAAGGTATTGTAGCTCAGGGGTGTTGCAGGATTATAAGAGATCACTCCAAAGAATAGGATAAACCATCTATTTCACTGGAATCCCTTAGAAATTCATTACGGTGCGCTGAAGTTATAATACAGTTTGAACGCAGCTGCTTTGACATGTAAGGAGGTAACAAACAGCCATTTCCCCCCTTGCTTTTTCATGTATTTCAGACTTGTTTCTTTGAGGACAAAACACCGCTGAAATCTAGACATCTCTGGTAGCATAAGTGCATGGCATTCCTTTTGATGTCAGCATAGTAGAGATGTTCTCCTTCTGACTGAATTAGGTGCCTTTTATTCCTTTTGCTCATGACTGATGTCTGTGATTGCAGGTTGTAGGTTTCCAGTGTCTACGGGGATCTGAAAAGGGTCTAAATGGGGGCAGCTTGTACTGAAAGAACATCACATTTCCTTACCGGCTCATGTCTTCCCTTGTCTCCCAGCTTGCCCCCACAAATGAGCTCTCCTGCAGCAGTCCTGGAACTAGTGCCTTAAACAACTAGCGAGCATCTTGAAAAATACTCCGAGAATAAACAAACACACCTAGTGTATACACTGGATGTGTTAAGCTTTTAAAATTAATTTAAAACTCACTGGTATCCCATGTCCCCATAACTAGAGAAGACTAAGTAATTGCCATCGGCATCATGTGCAGCCTTTTCTATACATTTTTTGCACACTGCTGTTTCAGTGTAGGTGTTATAACATGATGCTATCTTATAGCATTAGTGACAAGAGTAAAGAATTGCACGTGGATTTACAAATTACTGTGTCCTCCAGCCAGCACCAGAGGCTGCATACATCAAGCAGCTGTTCTGCGATATGTCATCGTCTGGTGGCTGATGCCGAGTTGTTTGTTGTGTGATGAAAAGTGGCTAAAAAGCCACGAGATTTGCCGTTTTGCTTGTGTATTTTAATCCACCTGCGTTAGCCTGGGTTTAGCTCCAGTATTTTATTGTGTTATTTTTGCTTCTTCCACCCATATCACCCCTTTCCTCCCGTGGGTCAGAATATCTTCATGTAAACTTTTTTCTTCAGTTTCTCAACTGAACGTAGAGTGTTTTAAAGCAAATTAGTGCACCAATGAAGTGGACAGAAGTAGGTTACGGTGGGGTCTCTGAGCATTTCATGAGGTCCTCTTCTGTTGTTGATAACTTTACAGGTTGTCTGTTTCAAACAGCAGCAGAGCTATATATGGATATTGCCAGCTTGGAAGCGGCTGATTTTTCTAAACTACTGTACGGTAGGAACTAGTTTATAATTAAAGTCTTGCAGTTGCTCCTTTTAAATGCCCTGTAACTTGTACACCAGGCTTACGTTTGAAATGAGGTATTATAACTGTGTCATGCTAGTGTATAATTTTGCATTTTCTTGTATTTCACCTGCTACGAGAATTATAATTGCCATGCAACTGTATATGCGGGATGCTTATCCAGAAAACCATACATGGCAGCTTGTCAACAAGTGATGTCTCATGAACGTTTTTGTCAGGTGGCACTTTGTACTTCCCACTGACAAAGAGAGACTTCTTACATGTATTTCCAAAATTAGCCCTCCCCCAAATTGTAATCTTTTGTTGTACCTGATTGGCAAGTCAGAGATTTTCTGTCTTTTTGCTGCTGCTGTTGTTGCTTCTTTAAATTAATGAATTACTGATCATCCTCTACAAAAGAAACTGAAATACAGTTGTGAAAAAGCAGTGTGGAAACTTAATTATACACCTAGTTTATACAGCTGTGGCTCTAATGACCTACTGGCCCTAATTACTGTGTTGTGGCTCAGTCTGAGTGCTCTTGTCCTTGCCAGAATTCTGCTCCTTTCTCTTAACCTGACTAGTGTTTCAAGCTAAAAAAAATAACGTTTCCTTTTTTTGTTCTTTTCTACATTGTTGTGCTGAAATGCAGTTTTCCTTCTTTCCAGAGGTCGTAGCAGTGTTTTAAAATTGGCACCAGAAAAGCTCAGTAATATCACAAACTGTAAAAACACGGATTTTCCCCGGAGTCCTCAGTTCTTGATGTCTAGATCTGAAAATGGGCACCAGGGCAGAGTGTTTGTTGTCAATCACTTGGAGGGCTCTGAGGGCAGGCTCCTGTCCTTAGTTTGTCCCAGGCATCCCCCCTCCAGGTGCAGGGGCAGCAGGGCTCCTGAGGGCTCAGGCAGCCGCCTCGGCCACGGTGCCCAGGCACTTGGCGTGCCTCCCCGTAGTCAGTATTTGTGCCCGCTGGTGCCGACAGCTCCGAAACCCCGGATTAGTGCAGGGGTATGCTTGGCTGGGTGGTCCGGGGTCCAGGTCCCCTGACCGCTGTCACGCAGGTAACGTTTGAGTTTACCTGGAGGTTCCCACCCAGCCTGCGAGGAGGCTCTTTCCGGGACTTCTGCCTACACGTACCAGAAAATTAGTGTGCTGGTAAGGTGCTGGGCTGCCTGGCTTTCTACACAGGTGCTCAGTGAAAAATGTATTTATCACGTAGAACATGAAGCATATTCCCGTATCTGAATTTGGATCTGAAGTCAAACAGAAGCACAGTTGCAAATTAAATGACAAGGCATATGGTAACCTTTGCTGATACGGTGGTTTCGCAGCGCATCCTGTGCAATGTGTTTCCTGAGCTGCCGCTTGCCGCAGGCCAGCAAGAGCTCCGGCGCTGCCCGGTGCGCTGGCCGCCAGCGCTGGTTCTGCGCCCACGCGGGGTGTTTGGCATGAGCGGGGGCTGCCTGCAAAGGTGCTTTTAGCGTAGCATTTAATGTATTGCATATGTTTGTCAAAGTTGTGCAAAGTGTTATGCTCCCTAACAGTGTCGCTTATCCGGCAGATCGGAGGGTCATCCAGCAGGCGAAGGTAGGTGAGACCCCCGGCTTGCTCCGCTCCGGCCAGGGCACGCGGCCCCGTGCTCGCCCCTTCGGCACGGGGAAGCCTTAGCAGGGGCTGAGCCTCTGCAATTGTTTCTCTGGCTGTCTCTTGGATTCTGCAGGCGTGCCGGTGCCTGTAAGGGTTTGCGGGGGGGACGGGACACGTGAATTTAAAACAATGCTCGCTCGCCATAAACACCCAGCTCAGGATTTGC